GAGTAGCACAATTTGACTTGGTTAACCCGAAAGCCAGTTAAATGTTTGGGGCATGTGGCATGCGGCAGGTGAATCCGCAAATGTCAGGGGACACACATAAGCAGTTTCAGGTGGGCAGTTCTTCGATAAAGGAAGTGGATTAGCCGAAAGGAGTTCCCCGAAACCATAACTTTGACTATCCACTGGAGGTATCCTTGCCACTCGAATTAAATTAAGTTCTAAGGACTCTGGAGACTGAAACTTTTGGTGACTTTTAATTTTATTGCAGGATAGATAGTGATTAAGTTATGAAGGTTGTTTAAAGAACTTCAGTGAAAAATGCAAAGACCTTGTTCTGAAGGGAAACCACATTCTATATTCTATAATCCAGGCGTTACAACCCTCTTAAGACATTCAACATACCCTTTAAGCCTAAGGACATCTGACTGAAATTTAGAGGTTTACTTGCCCCACGGCATTTACTGCATAACAATGAAAATTACCACGCTGATGACGACACGGATAATGGCTATGTGGTCGGAGGATCTGGAGGTGGATGGTGATTCCGTGGCTTGGGATGAGCATTGTCACCTCTTCCCAGTTGTTTGCAGGTGGGCAAATGGGCAATCTCTCTCGCTCTCTCTCTCCCTCTATCTATCTTTCCCTTTCCGGCTGTTTGCAAGTCAACACAGCTTTACACTGCCACGCCCTCTTTTTTGCGCCCCTGTTGACTGTGTCAATATTGACACAGACCGTATCTCTTTATGACATATTTTTTGGCCACTGTCAGCACAGAATGCTCTGGCATTTCTGGGTCTGTTTACATCCTCTCGTGGTCTGTTCCTCAGCTCTTTGACTTGATATATATATATAGTAGATATGTATATATAGTAACATATATATTAGCGTACTTGTGTATGACTTATTTTCTGGGTCCACCACGGCAACAAAATACAACCTAAAATCCTCTAAAGTCTGAACTTTGTTTTTTGGCTCTGCTTTGATGTCTCTCTCGCTGAAGAATTTTATGGTTTTGAGTCTCCTCCATGTGGGTTAGTGGGTAATGCAGTTGGTATTCGGTCACAAGGTGAATTATGAGCCCAGAAGATGTCAACGATGTGGGAGAATCCCATAGATAAACAGAGACCTGGGCTACCAAATCGATCGCATTGGCATTATAGACTCGTAGCTGCAGACCGCCCACAAATCTGGTTAGAAGTACTCTACTAAAAGAGGTATATAAGCTAAATGAAAATGATGATAAGGAAAATAGTGACCAAACTTATTCTAAAGGAAAATATTGAAAATAGATTAACTTCAATAGATGTTCAAGATAACAGATTAAAAGTCAGCTCATAAGGACTCGATTTTAGTAATATATATATAGTTTGGACTTTTCATTTATAGAGCATTTAATTTTCGTTATCTCCCCTTTCCCTTGGGTTTTCCCGTGTTTGCTTTGGGTGGCACTCGATGACTGGCACGCAAACTGAATCGGAAAAGCGACCCAATCTGGGGCCATAAATAAATCGAATCGCCCAGTTTTCGAATGGATCGTCTGCCTAGGACGGCGATGGGTGGTGGGGATCATGGGGGTGATGTGGTGCAAAGTCCGCAGACAGTTCTTGGAAGACGGCGACAGTTCCATCACATCGGACCCACATATCAGGCCAGGCGACAAGTGAAGTGTCAGCCATTGACAGGTTGTCCCTGCCCCGGAGAATCCCTCCATAAACGCCAATTTAAGTGGCCATAAGGCAGGCAGATCACGTGAATGGTCTCTCAGGTGTCGCCCTGACACATTAGAAGAGTTGGAGGATTTTAAATGACTCACTGCACAAAGGATCTCGAGTACGTGAAGGTATTCGATTACCATCAATTGATCGGGGAAAGGGTAGATAGGTAAGGGAAAAGGAAAAGACCTGACCCCAACCTCAACCTGATCGAAATGCGGATTGGATTCACATGTTTCCGCATTCAGACGCAGTGGCGATGATCGATTTGCCAGACAAATTGCACAAACTACCTCGAAATGTGCGAATTTACTAGAGACTAACCCACCGCAGAGTGACAGCTTGGAAACCCTAGAAGTGTACATCGAATTCATGGGCAATTCCTCACGATCTCTTCAGTTGGAGGTCTCGTATCGCATTTCAATGACGCGACCACATTCCGCGCACTTTGCAAGGTTTCAAAGCGTATAGATTTCTATTCCTGCACAGGGAGAAAATCTGGTTTAGAATTTAAATAAATATGAAGTTATGACATCAAATTTGCAGTCATTTACCTATTAATAAGTTAAGAGATATTGATGGAAAAACCAACAGTTTTCAACATACTAACCATATATGGATGACTGAAACACATTCTTCCTTCTTCAGGAAGATTAAATTCCTCTTTTTGCTCAGTGTCTTCCACTCAATTCTCCACTAAGTCCCTTCCATCTGGACTTGGCATTGTTCCAGTGGCACGCTCTTAGTTTTGATTTCTGCTGGGTTGTGTTTTTCTCCTCTGCTGTGGTCAATTTGCCTAAACGGGCGCCCAGTGTGAAATCCAATACGATTTTCGGGGTACGAACTCAATTAATTTGGAGTAGGGACCGCGTTTTGACATAATTGCGGCGGCGGAGGCGGCGGTGGCGGGGGCGGAAACATTTCCGCTGTGGTGCCGACAAAGCTGCAGCCACGCTCCAATCTTGTCAATAAATCTCAATATCAAAATATGCTAAATGACCACCCGTATGTGAAATATATATGTTCGAGTATAAGCCCAGACAATAGTTAGAGTCGCCTGGGCTGCCCAAAGAGAGAAAAATGCAAATAACTGCACGAACTATCTGTGAGATACGCGCATAAATTTACAAACTATGAATGCCCAGGCCCGCGGATAAAATAGATATCGATGGGATAGCATAAAGTGAGCTCTAATGCGGGAATGGGGGGGAAATGGTATTCCATACCAGTTCAGATTCGAGTTCGAGTTCGAGTTCGGTCTTTTTCATTAAATGCCGCTCTGAGGCAAACAATGAACCGTGTTGACAGGTCTCCGTTCCGAAGTCTTTGTGTATGATTGATTTAACCTGAATCGACTGACAGGTACGACGACAGGCGAACCGAACCGAAAGATATGGAAATCCACAAGATACTTGCGCTTATGCTAACGATATACGGGGGGCTCGCTCTTTGTGCCAGGCGAAATTTAAAACGCAACTTGATCGTTCCATAAGTGGAATGTATCTCGAAGATACAGATACAGAAATGCATATTCAGGAGTTCAGCTCTGTGACAAGGAGCTTGCAAGTAATCCAAGCAATCAATCATGGATTGAATTAAACAACTTCTAATGGGACGACACAAAGAACATGCCGTTCGAACTCATTACAGATGGCTGTATAATTATCCACGAGTCTGCGGTTGGCTGACCACCTCAGATCGGAGGAAAAAAAACAAAGGCAGGAATTCGTTTTCAGCCCAAGACAACCGCATCGAAATTGATTGACAGCTGAATGATTTAATGAGCAGCAAGACACAGCCCGGCCATCTCTCTCTTTCTTTAACTCTGAACCCTGAAAGCCACAGCGAAATGAATTACTTATTTTCGTTTGAATTTGAATTTTCCCCGTTGCAGTATCTTTTTATCTTTTGTTGCTGCTGCTGCAACCGTCGGGTCCATAAAAGATACTTATCTCACTCACTCTTCCCCAGCGTTCGCTCTCTTTCTGACAGCCTCCAGCCTTCTCTCTCCAACTTGGGCAACTTTCTTGCGATGTCATGCAACGATTGACGATGACGATGGCCGATGACGATGACGACCACGCATTTTGTGTCAACTTTGGAGGAATATCTACCCAGGCCCCCTCCATCGCCACTTGGTATATCGAATTGATAAACTGAAAACGTTAGAATAGATGGGTAGAGGAGGGGGAATGGACTTACTTTGTATGCATTCAAGTCTGTTCGTTTGAATTTTTCTATGCGAAAGGCATACCAGAAGCCATTGGCCAGCCATAAAATGTTCGACTTAAATGATCGATGTAATGAATAGTTTAGGCATGTGGCTAATTGATTAAGCCAGCAGTTTAGCAATTCCAAAAATGGTTATAGAAGTGGTTATAAAGATACAACTTCAGGGCAAGGGAACATCTAATACCCTGTTAACTTCTTAATGTGTTTTCCTATTTGAAGCTTCCCTATCAAACCACCTACTACCAACATTTCTTCTTGACTGTTCGCTGGCTGCTTCCCATGTGATTTAACTACTGTTTAATTTTCCATTAAATAAGTTTACACATAATTAAATTCGCCGCGCCATTTAAATACACATCTTCCAGCCGAGCGCAACAATTGCATTGAAAGCTTTTCATTTCTTTCCCATTTTCATTGTTAATTTTTATGTCGTTTGCGTGAGACCAGAGACCTCCGAGGCCCAGCAGTTTCCCTTCATCTTCTCCTCGGCCATCGCAGTCACTGGCCAAGGGCCACTTGTCGCTGGAGAAAAACCAAAGAGAAGAAGCCCACACGGCCCTCACACACTCACGCACATCGGAATATAATTTATGTATCGGCGGAATAATGCTTTACGATCTCGGCATGTCATTTGGACGTCGACTCTGAGGCTACCTGGGACTGGAAACTTTGTGTGGGAGGGTTCGGCTGGGAAGAGATTTGAACCCCAAAACTTATTCGAGGGAAATAGAAATTATTTACAGTGCCTATTAAATTTGAATTTATGATTTCTTAACAGTCTGATTAAAAATATATAAACATCTTAATCCCTCGAAAATCCCTTTTAAAATATATAGTTTTTCCGTATAATTCTTTAAGGGAAAATGATAAAATTTTCATTATTATTTTAATGATGATCTAACTTATAAATGAAACCAAAACGACTTACAGACCATTTTAACGACTCTCAAATTTGTCCCTATTTTGCAGGTAGTTTTATGATATTCCTCAACTACCTCAGTTATATTATTTAGTTTTCTTTTAAATCTCACTACTGTCAGTTATTTGTTTCTGAACTGCTCAAAATTAGTAGCTACAAAAATAGAAACAACAGCAGGGCACAGACGACGAGTTTGGAGACAAACATGCAAAGTGCATCACTCTAGGAGTCGCGATGCTATCAAAAATTCTACGTAAATATGGCACTCTGAACCACTTGTTCGGCAATCAACATCCCCATAATGGCCAACCCCGTAATCCGTGTTCCCAGTGGAAACTGGGATGTAGCAGCAAGCCACAGATGCATCGTCGAGAACTCCACGATTGGGATCGCAAGAGTGCGGCTTACGATCAGCGTCGAAAGACGATTCCGAAACTGGTCTATTTGCACAATCCGTGGAAGTACCTGGTGACCAAGTTCAATCTGTGGAAGCTTAAGTGGCTCTGGGATCGGGAGTTCAGTGAGCCGGACTTCTTGGAGGGCGCCAAGCAGGCGGCCATCGTCATGACGGACATAATCCGGCAGCAGAGTGCGGACAAGATCAGCGAGTACACGACTCCGGTGGGATTCCAGCAGATCACCCGAGATATGCTGCTCTCCCGGAACGATACACGCCTCCAGCTGGTCAGATTCGAAAGGGAACATCTGCGGAGAGCGATTCCCATGAAGGTTGCCACGCGGCAGAACTTCGGCAGGAAGTACGCTTTTATAGACATGCTCTTCGTGGGTCTGCGGAACACCAAGGATTTCGATACGGCCAGCGAGGTGGTGGAGGTCAACGAGATTATCCGCCGGATGGACAACGAACTGAAGACCCCACCGGAAGTTGTGGCAGTTCCACATCGAATAGTTTTCGCTGAGATCTTCATCCGCTTCAGGAGAGACTACACTGCTGATACGCAAAGAGGAGTTAACCTAAATAATCCTCATGCTCAGAGCTTTCCCTTTAATAATGCTCCCACAAGCCCATCGCCCATTGCCAATTCTAGGCCACTCCAAGAACCTTTCATACAATCAGCTATAGATCCCATAAGATCCACCCAAAATCCGGCTACGGCTGCTGTGCCCATAACGGGAAGAATCGCACCCCGCATGGATGATGTGGGCTGGTCGGTGTCGTTCTACAAGATCCTGACCTTTGACGTTCTCAACTACGATCCCCACCACAAAAAACACCATCAGTCCCACGAAAAGCCTTGAATGTTATTGTGATCTTTTATCAGTTTTCTCCTGGAAATTTAGAGCTTCAGTCTGGAAAAATTTGTATATGAAAATTCAAGATAACAATAAAAACAATCTTTGCCTCTTCTATGATTTCTGTTGTGATTTTGTGTTTTGTTATATAATCTATTTATTATTCATAGTTTGAAATGCTTAAATTAGTATTTATCTTTAGATAAATCTTTTCAGGCACAGAAAAGTATTATTCAATCGATGAAGTGAAAACCATGAATTTCCATAACGTTTATAATCAAATTCATCGAACGACTTGTTCCCATAACTAATGCCACCATTTAAACACATTTTCGCGTTCATCTAAGCTCATTGAAAACCCGCCAGTTCACACCTTTTTTTTGGGCCACACACACACAGAAAAAAATATATATTTGTACAAAACGATGTTGTAATGAGGGACATTACACGATTTGATCTTGTCAGCTGATGATGTTTGTGATGTTATTTTTGTCGTTATTGTTGTTTCGGCTCTAATTGGTTTTCCAACATGAGCTTGGGGTTTGGGCTCGGAGTGTTGTTGGGCTCTGGGGCTTGGCCTTGGCGTGACCCAATCAATTTAAATATTCCAAATGATTGAAGGAAATAGAAAAAACATAAATAAATTGACAAATGTATGTACAGCGAGCTCGTGTCGTTTGATGTTTTTACATCGTGCCTAACACATTTTTGCATAATTCGAACATGGTAAATGGTTTTTGGAAATTTACTTTGGAGGTGGTCCCATCGGAGGCACAAATCGAAAATCAATTAAAAGGGTTGGGGGTATAAATGTGACTGTGATGCTGGTTAACTTAAGGGGAAAGTTAGTTGCGGAACAACGAAACTCCATATCGATGATGGTTTACTACGTTTAAATGGGTATTGATTGGAGATTAAAGATATTTTATAAGTATTTATCTAGAGAAGCTACTAGGTTTTGGCAGTGCTATTAATTCAAAATATATTATTGCATACTTCTAGACAGCCTTAAAAATGATTTTAAATTATATGGGAATTGTGGGGATACCTCAGTTGAAAGTTATAACTCCTTTCTGGTGATTCCCTTAAGCTCTTATGTAAATATCAACCTCCGACATGCATTTCTTAGGTAAGTCCCTTGATCCCTGTGTCTGTCAATCGAATCAAGTTGTTTTGACTGCAGTTTTAAAGGATAATTTTCAAAGTGACGGGAAAGTTGCCTTTCATCTCTACCAATTCCAATTAGTTGGCCACGGAAAAGGCTATTTGCTTAAGTTAAATAAGACCCAGGACCCAAGTCCCAAGCCAAATAATCCCGACATCCTGCAGTGGCCAAGGAGCGTGAAACAGGACACGAAAGGAGCGAATACGAATACGGATGCGGATGCGGATGCGGATAACAAGAGCCGTCAAAAGGGAAAGAAATAATTTAAATAAGAAAACACAAACAGCTGTTGCAGTTCTGAGCCAAAGATGGAAATGTGCCACTCCTCCGTTTTCCCAGGAGCAGATAGCTACTGAGGCAGTAACACTGTACAAGCAAAAGGGATAATCTCATTATAATGAAACGCAAGTTATGCACGCGCAGCCGGCAGCCGCTAGATGGCGCCAGTCAAGGCGTCACTCAAGTGTCGCCCGCGCTCTCGGCTTAGGCGTCAAAAAAAAAAGATTTACAAAATAAAAACATAAAAAAATCACAAAGAAACAAAAAAAAAAAAGAAGAAGGAAAACAAACTGATGAGAAAGGAAACCAGAGACACAGCTGCTTGTCTGAGTCCCGACTCCACGACTCGGCTTACACAGCTCGAATTGGCCTGGCTTGAGCTGACATGCAAAAGAGCGTCCATCGAAAGTACAACAACAATAATAACAACAACAACAAAGGCAGCAACAAAAATGGTAAGAAAAAGGAAAATTATAAAAATTTATGTGCTCCCGTCCTTTCTGGCCATTCAATCTCTGCGGCAGCCAGCTTCTGTCAGCCTGTCTTCTGGATTTGTTGTCCATTTTCAAGGATGTCAGCCTGGCAAATGCCTCCAGTCCGGTCATAAATAACAAATGGGATAACGCTTTCTATTTTAGACCAACGAAGTGTGGGTACCCTTTAGTGAAGAATAGTTTATTAAAATACCTTCTTTGTTAAATTTAACTTAATTAAGTGCAACGAACATTTTAAGCATAATTTTTGCCAGTTATAATAAGCTGAAGATTTACTTTTGTACTTTCAGAGCATATAATAACTATTTCGGAATCCGTTGCAAGTTTATATCGATTGAGAAATCTAAACTATAATATATAAACTACTAGCAGGAAAGTATACCTCTTTTTTGGATCGATCAAAGATTAATTTACCTCCGAAATTAACGTGTGGCATATTTTCTTTCACTCAAACTTATTTAAGAATTTTAAATAATACATATTTACTTTTAATAATGTAGAAAACCATACATTCGACCCGATATGACCAAGGTCACTATCTAATTGGGCATTCTAAAAAAAACTACCATCCCGTGAAAAGGAAAAAATTAATTAGACAATCTGAAAGCGGAGGAGACTCGCAGAAAATCAGTAAACCGGCTTAATTTCAAACTCATTTGCAAATATTTACCGAACCCAACAAATCACAGACATCCTAAACCCTTTTTCGGGCTGAATCCTCAAAACCGGATCGAGATCCGCCAGAAAAAAAAAACAGATAAGAGTAACAGGTGTACACAAGAACCCAGAGCCCACGCGATGGGCTCAAAAGTTTCCATCGCTTTTCCGTTGCTTCTTTTAATTTTCCAAAGATTAATTACAAGTCTGGCGTAATGAGAGGATTTCCGGTTCAGGATTTGCTACGTCCTCTTTTTTTGCCCAGTTCCCCTGGACAAACCCAACGCCGGTGGCTCCTCCGGTAGCTCATATTTCTTGTGTTTAATAAAAATTGAATGAAATTTATGAAATATTCGCGCGATGTGCATAGAAATGCGTTCTTTGAGAGGGAGCCAGTAGGTGGAGCCACCCACCTGCAGTCTGAATCTCAGCCCCGACTCGTTGATCTTCATTAGCGGAACCACCGCCGCCGCCGCCGCCGCTGCCGGTAAATGTCTTTATAGACATTCCCGGAGTCGCCTTGGCAAAGCTTTAAATTTATGACAACGCATTTGCGGCGCGCGCTCTTACGGCCATAATATGAAGTAACAAAAAAAAAACAGCCAAGTCTGGCTAATAAAGCGTCGGCGTTGGCCTCCCTCCATAACACCATCGCCACCGCCCCTTGGCCCATCTGTCCTTTATTAGTTCATTGCTCGGCTGGAAAACGCGTCTCACCCCTCTCCCTCTTCCGCCCATATCCATTTACACTTGAATATTTATCGCCGCTCTTGGCCAAGTTAAGAGGAGCGAGGTGCGAGACCTCCCTGGGCGCCGAGGAGCGACCAAGGCACAGCGGTCCCAATATAGAGTTGTCACATAATTCTCGACACTAACAAGCTAAATGCGCTATTTAGCACAACATTTGTAGAATGCCGCCAGATCGGATGAAATGGAATAGATTGGAATGTACTGGAACGGTTTGGAGTGATCAACTCAGCTCCGATTGCATAACAGATTCGAATGGCGGGTGGGCGATGTGGAATTCGCTGATGATTTCAAGATCTTTTGAGCTTGATTATGGATATGGGAGATACCGATACGAAGCTATAACTATCTGGAGTATTTAGATAGTACAGATGGAGTTGTCGTAAAACAAAAAACACTTTATATTGACTAGTATTAAAGAGGGGAATTAAAAGTAGTCTTATTGGAGACTAAACATTGTATTTTTAAATTGCCCTTCTTTTTATGTCTTATGGAAGAGCAAAACTGTGTTGGTTAGTTAGTTAGTAAGTCAATAAACTTTTAAGTTGTTGATTAAAGTAACAAGCGACGTAATTAAGGAGATGACCACTTAAACTTACCAATAAAATATTTAAAAAAAAAGGAAGCAACTCTTAATCTTGATTGCTATTATATGTATTAATTCAGTAATTTAGAAAAGTTATTAATAAACTTCCAATTCAATTTCTCAAAAAAGAAATTCTGCTTCGCTAAATTTGTATATTCTAACAGTATAAGAAATATCTACGAAGGCCTCTTCGTCAGTATAGTCCAGGGGTCCTCAAATTCGAATTTACTAATCCAAATAAAAGAAAACGTGATATAATGTAGTGATGCTTTTGTTTGGTTTGCAGATGTACACTGAGAGAAAGAAAATAACTTTTTCTTGCTTACCAATTCATCCCTCAGTTCCAAATAGTCCCCTACGAAATAAACTCCAAAGTGCAAACAGAAGTTATAGGAAATGAATTCCAGTGCAGGGTTCGAGAATGATCGAGGAAAAAACAAAAACAAAATATATTGCAGTTGGCGACGGAATGAGGCGGAAAGAGGAACACGAAAAATTGCTAGTGGAATAGCTTAGCGAGCGCCTAAAGTTTACAGGCGAGCAAGCCCATATCCATATGCAGCAAGGATTTACAATAACAAATCAGCATTTAGAGAATCAGTGTTGAGCACCCCTGGTCAGTCTATTAAAGTTAGTTGAAAGAAAAGGACAACTTACTTTGTTTCAACCAACTTCATAGCCAATCTTATCAAAAAGCATTCGATTCATTAATATGAGTGGGAAAGCAACACATTTGCTTCTCTTTTTTTTTAAACATATCCCCGCGAAAAAGAAAAATTTTTTGAACAAAAAATCAACAATAACAATAACAAACGGAACCCTTTTAGCATGTCAATCGTTTTGAATGCCCTGGGGCAGTGATTTAAACGATCTCAAACCGCACATGTTTTAAAGTTTAAACTTTAAAGAACTGGGCCACAGAGTTCGATTGCCCCTTTAAATTGCCACTTGGCGCCAAATATTTATTGCAGTCGGTTTCTCTGGTCCGCTGTCAGCGTTTAAGGGAATCTGCATAAATCGAAAATATTTCAGCAAAAGTTGTGTCTTTAATTTAAAACACAATTCGCATGCCCCTTGGGGTGCGGACTCGAGGCACTGAAAGAAAATTTAGATTACTTATGAACTTAAGAGTGTTATATGGCTATAAATTATATTTTTGTTTAGTTTAATTTAGGGAAAACACAAT